TTAAGCTTTCGTCAGTCAGAAAATCATCAGAACAATGTACCATCGTCACAACAAAATTCAAGCTAACGAGATCGCTATGATGAAACAAGAGATTCCTCGAAATCCAACTTTTCTTCGCATATACCATTTCCTAATCGTCTTAAGCGAAATAGGGTGAGCACAATTATTGTTCAGAAGCAAAGAATGTCTGTCAACTTGAAAATTAAAATGCTTGCCTGCTTGGAGACGTATTATGTCATGGCTTAGGCCAAAAACCAGTACTGCCTCTCACCTCAGAAGTCAACAGTACAAATGTTCTTTTAAAGAGCTAGTGGTTGCTTAAAGGTCCAACCTTATTCACGGGTGATTTAACATGATCATATGAGTTGGCCTCACGGCCCAGGATAACTGATTTAATATCGAGGGCATATACGTCAGAATCCGTTAGGAAGGCACACAAAGTAGGAGATAGAATATTGCTGAGCTGAGTTCAACTTGAATAAGCTCTGCTCTTCCTTGATCTGCCTATTTTGTGAACTGAGAGTCGACCTATCCACAGCAAAAGGGAATCAAGTTTCGTTGCTTATTCCACTCTATTGGTCCCTCATAAATAAGATCTGCAGCTGGTTTGGAAGTCATCAACAAACTGGAAAGGAGTTCTCATACTTGACTCAAAACGCAACTCATAACTGGCCTCACAAACAGACCTATGAAACAATGTGAAATGTCCTTCACCACCTCAAACGAAATAGGATGGATACAACTCAGATATCTGATTTACTGGTAGTTTCGAAAATCCACTTGCCTACCAAAAAATAAAAAAGTAATATCGTCGATTACCATAGCAAATATAATTTTGCTTTAACCACAACATCAACACGCTAGTCACTCCGCCACACATTGCCACGAGTCCCCTTGGGTCACAGGGCAAATGTGAATTTCAAGGAAGGTCAGACATTTTCCATATCGCATTCTGTGTTGGGATTTTCGATGAAGCAAACTTATATGAGCTTTAGCAATCGACAACATTACTTTTTTCGAAAGTAATAAGTTCTCGAGACTGCCAGTAAATCAGATATATAAGTTGTATTCAGCCTACTTAATTACAAAACACATATAAATTTGCTTCATCGACAATCCCAACACAGAATGTGATATGAAAAATGTCTGAGCTTCCTTGAAATTCACATTTGCCCTGTGACCCAAGGGGACTCGTGGCAATGTCTGGCAGAGTAACTTACGTGTTGAGCATACATGCCGCACTGTCATGGTTCGACTCCCGCTTGGGGTGTTGATTGGATGAGGACAACTCCTGGCAAAGCAAGGCTATGTGAAATTCAATGGAAACGTTAGCACTATTCACATCATTGTGGGAAAAATCAACTTGAACGAAATAGGGTGAAATTCGGTTACAATCTTCGCATATATTTTCAGAATGAGTAGGCTCTTAAACTATCAGTGAGCACTTTCAGAGGGGCTATGTTCAGTCGAAGAAAAGCCCAAAAGTTCAGCATGTCTTTATTTTGCCCCTGTCTGGTTCTGAAGGAATTTCCGTCCTCTTTTAGAGGTACCATACTTTCTCTGATTGTTCTCCTGCGCTAACGTGCAAAACCAGCCGCTGAGCTCTTTCGCAGAATAACTAAAAAGTTGCAAACACGAGGGGCCTCGCTTCCACCGTCGTACTTTTGTTGTCTTAGTCGACTTATCCACAGACAAGGGACCCAATTATCTTCGAAAGGATACCTTCTGTCATCTTCATTTCTCGTAAAGATACTCAAAAAAGAGGCTCAATGATGGTCGTTTTGTGACTGTCGTTTAGCCACTCTCACCGTTACTGATTTCAGTCGTCTTTCGGTGCAGAGGTTACTGAGACGAGTCTAGAAGTGTTGTCAGGCGCTTGACTCGAAGTGGCGAACGAGATTGGAGACCTCAGCAACACTAACCTACAAAGCCACCTGGTGTCAAACCAAAGTGAAATAATGGCACCACCAACCTAAGATGTTACCCAAAACCCATTTTCTCATAAATGCTAGTCGAAAGAAGAAATATCTGTCCGATTCCTTTAGACATAACGCTAAAAAGTTTCAAGAACAAATTATCCAAACCAAAGATTTTTCGTTTGATTAGGAGTTCGGATCATCTATCTCGCCCAACTATGTATGTTGAAAACGCCAAATAAGGAAAGTTTTAGCCATACTTTAGGGCTAAATTGATTCTCTACAAGCCTAAACTTGTCAATATAAAATGTAAAAGGTAAAGTCACCACAAAACACGCTTCAGCCAATATATCAATACGTACACATGCATGGTTGGCCTCTGGAAAAACAAAGAAGTTGGACCTTCTGTGGGCTTCAAGACCAGACTCATGACTGTATTTCGAGAGCATACTTTCACTGAGGCTTGAGATTCGCAGACAAGTTGAATACAGACTAAAGAGTTTGTTTTGTCTTTAGGAATTGGACCTATGAGAGTCATGAGAGACAAATCGAATGCAGTTGCAGAAAAATATTAAAAAATGATGCTATAGTAGTCTGAATTTTCACAATTTTCGCTTCACTAACTTAACAAAAAGTGGAGATATCTTTTGAGACAATTACCTACAGATGGTATTTATAGTTTAACTATACTCATATCTTTATGCAAGTATGTATCAAAAGTCAGTCATGAGTAACTTCTAGTGTTGACATAACCTCATCAAGTTTAGTTTCAAATACATTTCGATTATAAATTTGATTTAGGAGACATCATATCTGCCCTTTGATCCAACGGCAGCCGTGGCAATTAGCAGAGTTGCCGTTAGCCGCTCCTACCTTCGTGACACGAACTCGAATACCAATGCTGATGAGGCCCAGTTGAGGTCCGAACTTTTGAGATGGGCAAGTCTAAATGAAACTTGGAAGCAGACTCCTCTATTAGCACTTACATAGTCCCAAACCACCTGATTCTCAATACTGACAGTCTCGTCGCAATCCGATCTGCCGACGAGCGGGCATCAAGTGCGGATGGTCTACACAAAATGTACCGTCTCCGAGTCAGGCTTTCATCAGATCATATCAAATAGCGAATCAGATTTCGAATGCTGTTGGCAAAACTTAAAAAATATAATAAATCTAGAGGCAAAGGCATAAAGTCATCACGGAGGATGTTAGTCAATAGTGATCCGATTTTCGTCATTCGTCGTTAAGCTCACATCCCCAGTTCGGATAGCTCATTGTGGGTGACATGAATGGGGGTAGAAATAGCAACAGGGATTGATTGGAATGCGGGCTTTCGAACTTTTGGGCAAATTCAAAATCTCTCTTTAATTCACCGAAAATGATGATAGTGATACCAGTTTTCAGCACAGTCTGTATATCCCATCTAAGAACTGCAGAATACCGTGTGCCTCAACATCATCAAGTACACACCGAAATGCTTTCTAATAGTACTCCATTCTGTCAGAATATTCTGCTTTTATCACGTTTTTGTCAAATTAAGCTACTTCTAAACAATCACTCCAGCTTCCCTCGACTAAACTTCACCTCCGCATGAAAGCTGCTCAACAAAATGGTCCGCTATGCTCTTCTTTGGGTAGGGTGGACCCTCCTATGTGCGAGGTCATATCGGGTGAGCTCAACTTTTTGTAGCCCATTTGGCCCAATTTCTGAGTCACTATTCATACACTTACGCGATGTACCATCCTCTTCAGAGCCCCGATTTGATGAGTCTAAAATATTCCTATCATTTGCTAGATTCGACAGCTCGGAAGGCCAAGATGATGTCTGGGATCATTGTCGTAGAGGCCGATTACGACGCCGTTGATCCGTCCAGGGATATACCGAGTTCAAGATCTGGTTCTGAGCTACGGACAAAGAGAATCCCCCCAAGTCATCCTGGCAACAAGGCCGACTTGCGAAAAAAATGGGCGGTACAAATAGGTGGAATGAGAAATTTCATTTTCCCGATCGATCTTGTCGTGAAGGCTGAGCAGGTCTATACTTTCACAGAAAGTGGGTTTTGATGTTACTTTCAACGGGTAAAAGTAGTGTGGTCGATTATAGTTGCAAGCGACAAGTGTGCTCCTCGACAATCACATTGGAAGTGTGATATGATAGCGGCATGGGTCGTCTGGAATTTCACGTCGCCTCCGCGACTCACTGACACAACTGACAGTCCAGCATAGAACTGTCAACTTTCAGTCATCAACTTTTTCCCAACCAGGAAGCCCAACTGGGCGATTGACCACGGAGACGTGTGAGCATAGAATAGGCACCAACATGGACAAAGAGATTGCATTTTGTGGATCAGGCAGAATATGAGGACTTACACTGTTCAGAGGCCAAACAGAGGAGACGAAGGTGAAGATGATGATGATGAAGAAGAAGAAGAAGAAGAAGAAGAAGAAGACGAAGAAGAAGAGCCCAAAAGGCGTCGTTCGAGGTCGCACTGTAGCTCTCCCGGCCACTTCCAGCCTCTTGAATGGCAGCGATTCCTGTTGAGAACACTCGCAATTGCCGACCCCAGCCAGTGTACACCTCGGCTACTGGGCGTCGCAACAAAGTCTACGTACACGCACCAAGTATTCAACAAGCCAGTAGCTGCGCCCCCGCACACACCGACCCACATACGCAACTACAACTATGCACACACACCTTCACAGTCACGAGTGTGTCGAAATATCACACACACATATACACACACGAAACTATAAACTCATTCACTCACTCACCCACACCCACAC